AGTGGCAAGCACGGGTCAGGAACGGAAAGATCAGGACCTGGTAGCATTTGAGCCTCTAATAAGCTGTACTTGAAGCTGGTGTGACCTCTTGGATGTTTCAGTTACGCAAACCAGTAAATTTCCTTTTTTATTTAAAGCCAGCTGGTAAAAGGTTTTCTATCACTTGTACCCGAGAGTCTTAAACATGCCAAGCTTCTTTACTTTGCAAGCAGGTCAATAGTACTCAGAACACATGGTTTTATTTTGGAAAAAGAAAAAAAATTCTAGGAAACTTATCAAGACTATGTTTGGGAGGTGATAACTAAGGATAGAAAAACATATGATGACATTTTCATTTTTTCCCCCCCAGAAATTTTAGTTCCTAAGTTACCGATATAATTTTTTTTTTCTCTGCTGACTTCTCCATTGCATTCTTGGAAAGGTAGGTTATTTCAAAATACACTGTTAAAAAAAAAAAAATGCTGGTAGAAAGCAGATGAAGGTTGTGTCACCTTTAATACAATAATGTCCTTTGACTCTCTAGGGATAAATGGTAGGGAGTAAAAATAGTTTACCTGAACAGTTTATGTACTTTGACCACAGTGCAACTCTTCAAAGTATGGTCATGTCTCTTTTATAGATGAAACAGAGACAAAGAAGTTATGTCACTGTGTCAAGTCACCCAGCTAGTGTGTATAAATATAACATATGAACTCAAGTCTATACTCTTGCCTCTATGCTAAAAGTACCGGTTGCCCTGTCAATTTCCTTGACAAATTTTCAAGGAACCTCAGATCACAATGCTTTTAATTGAGATGTTAGCTGTTAAACTGCTTTCATTAAGAGGCCGTGATGAAAGCATGTTTTCAATAGGTATAAAAAATGAAGTTATTCAACACACACTCCACAGGTAGAGCTAATTTTTGCTTAGAAAACTTTTAGTCCCTTCTCCTTTCTGAATCATTTTTACCCACATTTTTTGTTTCTTTGAGGTATAACATATAGTACAGCTCAGTGACTTTTAAAAATATTTACATCCATGAATCATCACCCAGATTACAATGTAGAATATGTGTAGCACTCTAGAAGTTTCTTTTATGTCTTCCTAGTCGGTACTAGTTCACCCTCACCCAGAGGTAACCTCTAGTGAGACTTAGATAATTGTCACTTAGTTTTGCCTGTTCTTGAACTTATAAATTAAATCATACAGTACTCATTCTTATTTTGCCTAGCTTCTTAATACATTTGTGAGAATCATCCATGTTACATGTAACGATTCTTTCTTTTCTATCATTGTGTTATATAGTCTGTTGTTCTTTTTTTCAATGAAGTATAATTGATGTATAACAGTTTCAGGTGTATAACATAATGATCGACATTTGTACACATTGTGAAATGATCATACTAAGTCGAGTTAACTTCCATCACCAGTTACAAAAAAAGGTATTTTTTCTTGTGATAAGAACTTTTAAGATTAGTTTCAGCAACTTTCAAATATGCAATACAGTATCATAAACTATAGTCATCATGTGGTACATTACATCCCAATGAGTTAATTTTTTTATACTGCAATGGTTTTTTAATGCAACATCAACTTAAACACACATAAATTATACTTAAGTTTTTCTATCTCTGTACATAAAGTATTTAAATTTATAATTTTAACTGCAGTTTAATTACAATCATTAATTTGTGTGCCACAAGAAACTCCAAATATATTTCTGGTCAATAGATCCTTCACTTAAGTAAGCCATTGTTTTTACCATGACACTGATCTTTTTTACCACTGCAAAAAAGTAAATATTTTAGCTCCAACGTTGAATATTTTAATAGCATTCGCTCACACTGCTGTTATATATTTTGCTTTCAAGAGAATAAACTTGTAAAACTTTACTCTAGTCCCATGAATTGGACGAAAAAAGTCAAACCATTATTATAAGTAACTTATTTCCTATGTGAAACATGTGGTAACACTGATATAACACTTGCATTATTTAACTTTGTGAGTCTGTTAATGGAATTAACAGTGCCAATGACTTATTTACTGTATAACTGGATGTTTGTACCTTTTGATCCCCTCGCCCCACCTCTGGCAACCACCAATCTGTTTTCCGTATCTATGAGCTTGCTTTTTTCTGTTGTCTTTGACTCCACATATAAGTGAGATCATATGGTGTTTGTCTTCTCTGTGTGACTTATTTCACTTAGCATGATGTCCTCAGGGGCCATCCATGTTGTTGCAAATGGCAAGATTTCATTCTTATTTTATGGCTGAATAGTATTCCACGACTGAATAATATTCCCTTGTACCTATATACATTTTATTTATCTGTTCATCCATCAATGGGCACTTAGGTTGTTTCCATTATCTCAGTTATTATAAATACTGCAATAAACATAGGGGTGCCTATATCTTTTTGAGTTAGTGTTGTTATTTTCTTCAGATAGTTACCTACAAGTAGAATTGCTGGATCATATGGTAGTTCTAATTTTTTGAGGAACATTCATAATGTTTTCCATATGGCTGTACCAACTTACAATCCCACCAATGGTACACAAGGGTTCCCTTTTCTCCACATCCTCAGCAACTTTTATTTCTTGTCTTTTTGTTAATACCCATTCTAATGGGTGTGAGGTGATACCTCATTGTGGATCGATTTCCATTTCCCTGTCGATTAGAGATGTTAAGCATCTTTTTATGCTCCTGTAGGCCATGTGTCTTCGGAAAAATGTCTGTTCAGATCTTCTGCCCACTTTTAAACTTCTCTTTTGCTATTGAGTTGTATGAGTTCTTTATATTTCTGAATATTAACTGCTTATCAGATACATAATTTGCTGATATATGATTTTGTTGGTTTCTTTTGCTGTGCAGAAACTTTTTAATGTAGGACCACTTGTTTTTTGCTTTTGGTGTCAGATGAAAAAAATCATCACCAAGACTGATGTCAAAGAGCTATGTTTTCTTCAAGGAGCTGTACAGTTTCAGGTCTTATATTCAAGTCTTTCACTTTAATTTTTGTGTGTGATATAAGACAGTGGTCCAGTTTTGTCCTCTGGCATGTGGCTGTTCAGTTTTCCTAACATCGTTTATTGAACAAACTGTTCTTTCTCTATTATATATTCCTGGCTACTTTGTTGTAAATTAATTGACCATATACGATGGGTTTATTTCTGAACTCTCTATTGTGTCCCATTGATCTATGTCTATTTTTTATGCCAGTACCATTCCATTTTGATTACTATAGCTTTGTAATATAGTTTGAAATAACAAAGTTGAAGCACCATTGCACTTTCTTAATGCATCTTCCATACTTAAGCTTTGTAATGTTTCATTTTATAGAATGAAGAGTGAAAGGGGCTTTAGGGATTGGATTATCCAGCCTATTTCAGCTCCACTTACCAAGAAAATGTGAATAGTTTGAAGAGCATATCTTCCCCGGCCAAGGTCTCCTCACTTCTAGTCCAGACCTTATGTTTCCTTCTAGTTTATTTTTCTAACTATCACTCGGCATGTATGTTCAGGAGTGTTTACAGAGACTGTAAAATATTTACACAAAAACATAATGGAGAAGATAACTCACCGAGTTCTACCAGCTGCTCATTTTCAGAGAAACAAGGGTGGGGGAGTCAACCTAAATAAAAAGATTAGCAGCACTTCTAAAGACCTTGCAATTGAGCAGCTATCTGCAGTTCCAAAAAGGGCCCCTTAGCTAACCCAGAACTTTGAAAACCCTGTCATCACAGGCACGCTGCCATGGTCCCTCCCTGCATTGAGCACTATCGGCTGCTTGAAGGGTATGTCTACCTTTTCTCTGCAAGGTGTCAGGTCCCCAAGCGCTCTTCCATCACTTCCTCAGAGACATGTCCTAACCCGAACCACATCCTGGATTTCCACATGTCACTTGGTTAATTTCTTTGTGTCAGGTGGCAGTTTAGAAGGAGGTGGCCAAAGCATACTCCCTTTCTGAGTGGAAAAGGCTCACAAACAGCTTCAGGGATGAGCCAAGTGGTAGGAGAAGAGGCATTCTGGGATGAAGAGGAAATCGTACTAATCCAGGGAAATTGATGGGCAGGAAACTAGACTTTAGGTTAGAAGTGGGTTAAGTTGTATTCTAAGTGAGGGTCTGAGTCCGGACTCAGACACCAAGGAGAAAACACTCTTTACTTATCTGTTTATAGTTCTGTTCTTAAAATTCTGAATCCTCAGCTGTGTTCAGGTGGTAAAGCTCATGAAAGGAAGTACTCACTTTCTCATCTTAGAGAGAGTACCATTACCCAGTGTTCAATAAGAGAAAAATCTAGATACAACCCATTAAATGAAAAGCAAGTCCCATTTGAGACTTAAAATTGATTTTTCTGTAACTTAGGTACAGAAAGTGATCTAAGTCCTTGCTACTCAATGTGGCCCAGAGACCAGAAGCATCACATTATCTGGGAGCTTGTTATAAATGCGGGTGCTACCCCAGCCCACAGAGCCATAGTGTGCCCTTTATTAAGAGCCCCCCAAGAGATCTGTATGCAGATTAGTTTGACAAGCACTGCCCTAGGATCATTCGGATAGAGCGCTGAGAAAAGCAGATTGGCTCCATGAGGAATATTATAACATCTGAGGGGGAAGAGAGTGCGGTGTAAGAGGGAGATTGATCCAAAGACAAGGACTGAAAACAGCTCTCTGCAGGACTTGCTGATTCACAGTCTAAGCGACTCCAGCTCAGACTGGAGTGCACACAGCACCCAAGTTCCTCGCCATGCACCATGTGACCAGTGGCTCAGCACAGCAGTAGCCTGGCTGAAATGACCACTGCTAGTGAATTTGTTTTACTCCAAACACCAAGTCATTCCTCTCCCCACAAGGAATGACAGCTACTAAGAGAGATGAGGCGCCTGCTTTTACCACGATGCTTCTTTCTAAAAAAACACCTGAAGATCACAATGAAAAACTAATTTCACAGACTATCTGTACTAATTAAAAAACAAACCCCACCACATTCCTTTAGCTACACAACTCACACAATCAAGAGTTTTCAGAATGCTAATTCCATTCTTTTATTTCTTCATACCACAAACATGTTATCTGCCTTTTACAACCTGATTTACAAGCAAATTGCAAATGAAAACCAGGCATTCTTTAATCCTCCAAAATGCATGTGTGAAATATAACATAAACCCTAGTATTTATACATAAACAGGCTTAGCTGAAGCAGCTTTATCGCAATCTCTTAAAATTAGCATTACAGTTTAAATATTGATGCCTGTTAACGTTTGCATAATCTACAATAGTTATTTCAAAAGCAGTTAAAACTTAACTAATTGAAAGAAAAACTTCAACAAAAAGCTCTAATTATGTGAAAAATTATTTACAATTAAACATTTAAGGTCCTGATTCACAAAACTTAGTGCATATCATGATTTATTAGTTTCATAAAGAAGGTAAGAAGCAGTATGTGGAAATCCACCAGGTAGAATCTAGAATGAATCACTTTTAGAAGAATGTATGTCAATATGCGTACTGGAAACTAGAGAAAAAGTAACAAAACAAAACTGCAGCAACTGCATTTGATTTGAAAATTTAAACACAGCAGCAATAAGAATAAACAGGGCCACAACAGAAGAGCTCTTTTGTACATTATGCACAGGAAGCAAAACGACTCTCCTCTTTTTAAAAATAAATCACCCCCAATAATCACTACATGCGATGGCAAGGTACATCTGCCTTCCTACAGAATTGTCTTTAAACTTAATGCCTGAAACATCAAATTTAAATAAAGAAGGAAAGTACCTTTTCTAACAGCCATCAGAGTTCAATGGGTTTTATTGAGAGGGGAAAGCATGGAGCAAGGTGGCCCCAATGGTCAGCCATTCTGATCACAAAAGAAACATCCTAGGTAAGGCCCAGAAATCCAAGGTTACCCTGGAAGTCCTTCAATGGAGTCAATGGTGATTTTATGTGCACAAAAAAAGGAGATAACTCAAAATAAACAGGGCAAACTTTTTAAGTGATAAATTTCAGTGAATCAGGTCCCATGTAATCTTATATAAAAAAAAAATTTACAGTAAACATTTTGAACTCTAGAATGCAGGTATAGAACAATTACTAGTGCATTACATTTACAAAATGCTTACTTAGGCAGTAGCTAGCTGCTCCACAGTAAGAATTGAAAAATGTACAAGTTAGTCCACAATGACTTTAGATATGTTATTAAAATACACTGTTAATCATAAAAATACTTTACTATGTACATGTTCACTGTATAAACTCTGGATTTTCTACTGAAGGAAGCCTCTAAATCCATTTCTGGCCTACTGGCCCAGGAAACACTATGGTTCTTTTATTTGGTTTTCATACCACACATGGCTGAGGGCACTGCAGTCAGTTCTTCGATAAAACAGTAATGCATTTTTCCTTCTGCAGAAGGTCTAGTTGGAGGAGTTGGTTTTACTTCCACTATATTTTACTTTCCTAAATGCTGGTCCATGTAACTCTGGGCATTCACATAATTCATCTGCAATTTGGTTACACTTTAAAATAAGGCTATAGTTCATTTCATCAGTTATCACACTGTCTTGCTTGTAGTCAGGATGGTTTGCAATAAACTCCCTCATCCATTTTGCAACTGTCATTAGTTCTCCTGAAAAAAAAAAAAAAATTTAAAAGACAATGTAAGTTACTAGTAATGCTTTTTAAAATTAAGTTGACATTTAGAGACCAGGATAAACACAACCCTGAAGAGAATTCAGTATGACCTTTGGTGTAGCCATATGACAGGTGTTGGGAACAACACGTCTTCCATAGTGTTTGAGAATTTCTCCAAGGAAGGAACTTTAGGTTGCAGGCAGACAGCTAGAACACATCCATCCTGTTGCTACCTGTTAGATGCTACCCACACAATACACTGCCATCTCGTAAAAACGGGAGCCAACACGCGTGTACTAGAGCACGTGTCCTCCCCTTTGGCCAGAGGGTTAAGACCACATATGCCAGTGTCATGAGCTGTTGAGCTGTCTGAGGACGGTACAGCCTGAGTTTGCCAGAGCAATCTTCAGTCAAAGAGGTGGAGAGAATCAAGAATAGTAAGTAGAGTGAATTAAGAGAAATTAGCATATATACCATTCGAGGGGTGTATCCTCTGTGACTCCAGAAAGTTTACAGAAGCCTTGAGTGAAATACAGAGGCCCTTACCATTCCTGTTGCTCTTATTCACAGCTGACGGCTCCCTGTACCGGGAACCTGTTAGCACCACTTATATGATATCTTCAAAGCTAACAAATAAGGGGTCCTTGGGGTGCTCACTGTAAGGAGGAAGGCTGAAGAGCCAGACATCTTAGCTGTGTCACTTATTTAACCTACAGAGTTACTAAACCCTACAAAAAGAGCCCATGATGATGCAAAACGAACACAGCTGGACATAAATGACAAATAGGCGATCTAGATACTGCATTGCACTAAGATGCTATCGACTTAAAGATGCATCACTATTTTACGAACCAGTAAGAAAAAAATGCACCGCTAATTAGACAGTGATTATCAAAGATTGTAAGGCGTATCCGACTGCAGAAATGTCAAAACGTGAAAAAGCGTGCACTGATAAAACACACTTTTAAAGACTACCTTAAGAAATCGAGTATTGTAGGATTGTGAGGTTCTGCCTACATTATGAAATTCTTTCAAAGAAAGAAAACTAAGAATACTATACCCGATGCTCTCTTCTTAATCAGCTTTAAGTAGTTCAGAATACTACATCTGGTATCCACATCCACTTCCATGTTTTCAAGGTAGGAGTTCAGAACTGGGATCAGCCCGGGAAACACACCTTCCTACAAGGAACAGAACACGTCATCAGCTGCCTGCCCCAGGTGTGAGCGGTGAGGCACGCTGCACAGGACCCCTACCTTCCCGTTAACGATGGTGTCGATGCTCATCAGGGTGTACTCCTCCGCCGCCAGCTCCGCGCTGTTCTGGGACTTGCCACAGCCGTCCACCACGGCGCTGCCACCTGCCGGAGGAGAGGGCACAGGAGCTTTGGTGGCTTGTCGTAGCTAAAGTCACCCTAGAAATCCAAGAGAATGTAATACCTTTGCAAATGTCTTTCCTGAAATAGAACATTCCCTGCAGAACAGCATCTCGTTTCTGTGCTACTTTCATGTTTTCATCAACCTAAGGGAGAAAAATCATCACAGCCAGTCAGAACACTCTTCACCAGAGTTTGTAGTGCCTTCCTCACTTCTGCAATTAGAACTGTCTCCTCCAATGCTTTCTGCTCAGAATAACAGACTTTTTACTTTATGTGGGGCCTGTGTCACTCAATCACAAGTTGGTATGTGCTCTTTAATAATAACGGGAAAATTTTAAGAGAAGCTTATCTTAAACAAAAAACATATTCACGTATGCTGTCTGCATTTCGAAGCACCTTTATGACCAAACCCTGCAAGAAATCTAGTCTCAGAGGCAAGTGGTTGATTTCCTTGACACGACACAGTCCTCCTGACTTCCAGTTCAGTGCTCTGTCCTCCCAAATCACTGGGGTTTTGCTGCCTCTTTGGTGGTGAAAAGAAAAAAGAGCCAGCAGGTTGTCAAATCTGGCACAAGGTTAGCCCTCCAGGCAGAGGGTCACCAATGCTGTCTGCCTACCTGGTGGCCCTGGCCATGTCAACTTATTCATGAGGCCAAAAAATTCCTCTTCATTTGTGAATTCTCCATTTCTCCAATTATTTAAGACCCTCAAAGTAGAGTTTTTAAAACATCTTAGTAGTTGTCTCTTATTTCTTATAATGAAATCTCAGGGGAACCTCAATATATAAAAGACACAATTTAGAGGGTCACACTCAAATAAGGTGGATGGTACAAAGCCTTTGATTATTAAGCCTCTTTACCATACTCATTAATTCCATTTGTTGTTATTGTGGTTTTTTAAAAAGACACATATGACCTAAATAATCTAGATACTTCTAGGAGCATATTCAAATAGTCTAAAATTCTACCATGGCTATGATCATCTTTCATTTCTAATAATTTTTTTCTTAATCTTGACAAAACTTAAGATCACTTTTTAATTTCTGCTTTCATGAATTTCCCTTTACAAATTATTTTACTATTATTACTCTTTAGATTCTCAATTGGACTGCTTAGGTTTATTTTCCAACTTTCTTTTAAAGCATTTAATGCTATGATTTTTCCCTCAGAGCTGAACTTTGCCAGCATCCCACTGCCTTTCACTTTCCTATACAATCTATAATCCTAGTTCTGCCTTATTCTAAAACCTATTAGGAAAAACACTTTAAATTTCCAACAGTTACATTGCTCTTCAACTTTCTTTTTGAATTTTGGTGAGAATGCATCCTGTATGGTATCTTATTGAGAACAGAAGACCTTCCTTAATTTTTATAAATCTTCCTCAGTGCATTTGAAAAAAGATGTTCTGTGGTATGAGATTTGTGATAGCGGTTACATAATCAAGCCTGTTACTCCATGTCGTTGAATATCCCTATGGCCTTTCTCATTCTTTGATTATATGACCTGTCAATTATTAAGATGCAAGGTACACTGCTAAGTGACTTATCTCCCTGAATCTCACTTGGCCTTACAACGGCCCACACTTTTCCCCATTCTACATGTATAAACTGAGGCACTGAAAGGATAAGTAACTTGTCCAGGTTAAGAAGCTAGTAAGTAGTACAAGTGATTTATAAATTCAATGCTTATACCAAAGTCATACCTTACCCACTATAGTGTCTTTAAAAAATGAAGGCTCTAACATTATCTTAAAAGAGCACAGAAAATTGCTTTCTCTATCTCATTTAATACTTT